TAATCTACTTATATCTAATTATGTCTAATAATATAATTATATTATGTCTCATAATCAGTTAGTAGACGTTGAATCTGGCAAGATGAGTTTCTTCTGCTACATGTAGAAATATCCCCTACTAAATATTAACTGTAGGTTTATAACATGATGCACTAGTGTGTGACTTTAGGGAGAATTGATACCACAATTTAAAAGGTTACACAATTTCTAAGTATCTTAGACTTCAGGATACACAGAAAATCAATCTCTTATTTGGTCTTTCATTAAGGTCATTGGTATTAACTGCTGATGCTAAATCTGGATCCACAGAGTTTACTTTTAACTGCAGTGATTCTGTTTCAGGTGAATGCTTCTGCCCTTGTCATCTTGCATTGCCTTCTTTCATAAATAGTTTTCATTTACTTTTATAACACCATAGTTAATTTAGTTAACTCACTCTATGTGATATTTGGGGAAAACTTGAATTTGGTTCATTAAATATTTTTTAAAATCTGTGTCATTGCAGATGGTGCCTGTGGCTCAAAGAAGTAGGGTGCTGGCCCCATATGCCAGAGGTGGCGGGTTCAAACCCAACCCCGGCCAAAAAAAAAACTGCAAAAGAAAAAAAAATTATGTCATTGCTAGAAAAAGTGAGACACAATAATGTGGGGGTAGTTTAGACTAGGGAAGTCTCCAGCAACTGTGATGGGACCCTGTGCATGTTAGAGCTGAGAGCTGACTCAGGTGGGCCTAGATGTCATAATAGTAGGTCAAGAGTGCAAGAGATAAAATTAATCCTTTAACCATGAAAAGACATTAAGGGGTATAGAAAGGTGGTGAATAGAACAGACTAATTCAGGTATCCTAAACTATGGCCCGCGGGCCACATGCGGCCAGCCAAGGATATTTATCCGGGCCTGCTGGGTGTTTTTGCCGCCACTGCCTGTCCTGCTTAGCAGCTGGCTCGTCCCGGGGCCCACAGTCCAGCCCTCCAATGGTCTGAGGGACAGTAAACTGGCCCCCTGTTTAAAAAGTTTGAGGACCCCTGGAGATGGTACGGTGTGAACTAGTGAAGGAGGGTTTGAGAAAAAATTCTTCCAGACAAAGATTAGGATAAAAAGAAGTGTATCTGCAGGTGGCGCCTGTGGCTCAGTGAGTAGAGCGCTGGCCCCATATACTGAGGGTGGTGGGTTCTAACCCGGCCTGGCAAATCTGCAACCACAACAAAAAAATAGCTGGGCATTTATAGCCCCAGTTACTTGGGAGGCTGAGGCAAGAGAATCGCCTAAGCCTAAGAGCTGGAGGTTGCTGTGAGCTGTGACGCCATGGCACTCTACCAAGGGTGACAAAGTGAGACTCTTTCTCTAAAAAAAAAAAAAAAAAGAAAAAAGAAGTATATTTACTCTTTCCCGAGTAGAAAAAGGACCAGCATGAAGATGGGAAATGGAAGAATATGTCGGCCTGGAAAGCCAACCATTCAGGCTTTTATCCAAGAGCTGCAAACTAACGGGGTACAGTGAGAAACTCTGGCACCTGCTCCCCTCTTTCCTTCTTAGCAGCATGCTGATAACGGGACCAGTGGCAGGATGTTAGTGTCCAAGATTTGGCTCCTCTGCCTTGCCTTGGAGACAGGCCTTGTCACTGGAGATGTGACTCTGCCCTCAAGGTATGGCCGATGCCGGCAGCTCACACCCGTGCTTTTCACTTAGGGACTCTAAAAAAAGCAAATTCTCAAAAGCAATTTTAAAAAAGAACGATTTACATCTCTTTTCTGTCTGTTCACCTCTTTTTAGATATTGAAATAAACAGAGCCCCCGTGGGTGTCTGTTAGCAAGAGAGTTCATAGGGTTGATCTTTAGCCATTATTGGGGAAATTATAGGATTGCGTATTTTCCTGTTATTTTTTGCAAGACCACCTTTCACTGCCTCCTGTCTCTGATTAAAATTAAAATTTCTATTTAAAATATGAATTCAGAAAACTGGCTGTTATGGACAGAGGATTCTCCTGAACCTGCTTCCTGCTCACCTATGAGTGGAGCAATGTCCCTACCTGACCAAGTTCATTTGGGTCCTTTAGGGGAAGGGATAGAAAACAGATGGTCTTAAAAGCTAGGTTAGATGTGGGATGGTGGGATGGGGGTTTCTGTGGAGAGGACTAGCTAGGGCCTAAATTCGGTTTTGAGTCAATGTTGTCAGAGAGTGGAGAATTCAGGGTCCGAAAACGAGAGATAAAACCCAGGACTTAGTGTCCCCAAAGGGGCACTAACTGGGGAAACCAAAGCCACACTTGAAATCTAAAATCCCACCAGTCATATATGCCAGAGGTTCCCTGGTCAGGAGGTGTATTAGCCCTCTTTAGAATGTCGGTTTATACTTTCTGTGCCTGGTTAACAAAGAAACAGCAATCTTCTCCCAGCATGGCACCTGTATCTCTTTGACTGGCAGTTAAGAGATCAATTGCTCTCCTATTCTGAAGACAGCTCCTGCAGGGAGTTCATTTGTTGTAATATAGCAATTTGTTTGGCTGATTCTTAGGCAGTTGGCTTATTAATAAAGACAGTTGTGCTGAAAAAATTGAATTAAGTAAACTAGTGGTGCCAGCAGTAAGTCCAGCTAAAATGCTTCAATAATTGCAAGGGTGGCCGAGGCTACACACTGGGTAGGTAGTACAAGGAGTAAATGGGAAGAGGCACAGTCTCATTGGCAAGAGTGAGGTTAGGAAGTGGATACTCCAGAGGACAAGCTCCCGCTCCCATCCCCATCTGTGTCTCCCATCTTGGCTGGGAGGCATAGATAAGCACTTGATCCACAGAGAAAATAAATTCATTTGGGGGTATATATTGAAATAAAGCCTTGTAAAGTGTTCTCTAAAGTACTCTATGCTTTCATAAGTTGGAGCTAAAGTCATCCTAGCCAATGGAAGTGTGCATATGGTGCATTCAGGAATAGTGATGTAATTATATGCCCCATTGGAAGAAGGAATAGTAAGGTTCCATCCTATTTGTGTGCCTGAGGAGGTGTTAGTTTTCAACATTCCTGGCAGTTGGACCCCAAAATTATGTCCCTTAAAGGGACATGATTGGGGAGGAGGGGGCAAATGGTATTTTCTGAGCAGCTTGTTTGTGTCCAGTTGGGTAACCTTGGGTTTTGGAAGTGTATGCCATGAAAAGGGATTCATGAAGGTATTATGACCCAGATGTGGCTACTATAACTGGAAAGTGTCATTCAAGCCTGGAAGCTGTCAGAGAACTTTCCACCAAAAGTCCTGGGTGAGATGAACTAATTAGACACAGGGGAGCTCACTGTACTGTACGGGTGAAACTGTAGTGACTATCGTTCTCTGGAGATTAAGGTGAGCTCTATTGTTCAGACAGCTTATAAGGAGCCGGTCTATTTAGAGTCAGATACTGGGAGCATATTCCACCCCACCACCCCAGGCCACCAGAGTAGGAGGGGATTACACAGGACTCCAGCTGACTTGATTCACCAGGTGAGGTGAGGTAATAATGGCAACAAGTCCCTTTTGGGGAGAAATATTGACATATAGCCAACAATTTCCATGGGTTTCAGAAAAGTCAACAGTTTTGAGATGTTGAAGGCCCTCTTGGACTGTAGACAATTAGGATATTGTATAATGCCATGGTGGGTGGGAGGGAGTGTGGTTCCCCAGCATGGGCAAAAGGGACATAGAATTGGCACGTGAGTTCCATGAGTTCCATAGAAGTATAAGAATAGCACCATGTCCTGTATACATATACCACAGCATATTAAAGTTCACGGTGTTGAAGCTTCTGTCAAGGGATTCAGAGTCCAGTGTCCACGATCAGCTGGCAGGGATAAGCCGATGGACTCTCAGGGAGTTTGCCATGCATGGGAGCAGGCTCTGGAGGGATAGTAATTTTGAACTGTGGATGTAGATCTAGGACAGAATTCCTAGATGTTTAGCTGGAATGTGTGTGTGTAGTGAGGACTTGAAATGGACCTTTCCACAAGGGTTGTGGGTTGCAAGAGGCCCTTTTATCTTGGAGTATCTTTAAGGAAAATCCAATCTCCAGGCTACAAAAGTTGCGGTTTATTGAAATTAAAAGGTTGAGGTTGAGGAAGATGTATATTTGCATATCCTCTAAGAAGTGGTCTAGTCAACTCCTCTGCTGGGAATAAGTGAGAAAGAGGCCAAGAGGAGGAATGCCCAGGAGTTCAAAGGTACTAACAAAGGCGCCCTAGGAGAGAGGAGTCTGAAAAGAACATAAGAGAAGAGAAGTAGCAAGCTTTGGAGTACCTCTAAGGGAAGTTTTGTAAGCTGCTGTTTAAGAGTGTAGGAGAGCCTTTTCTATCTTCCCAGAGGATTGGGGGTTATAGGCTGAGTGTAGCTCATAAGTGATACTAGGGGCTCTGGGACCTAGTGAATAATTTGAGATGTAAAAGCAGGACCATTACCACTTTGTGGAAAAGACGGGAGCCCAAAGCAAGGAATTATTTCTTGGAGAAGAACGTAAGGCTCATTCTGTTTTAGCACGGAAAGCTTCTAACCAATGCGATAACTATCTGTCAGAGTTTAAAGGTATTTATATCCCTCGTGTGGAGGTGTATGTGTAAAGTGTAACTGCCGATCTTGTCTAGATCTTGTCTAGGGAGAGACCTCTGAATTGATGAGTAGGAAGAGAAGGAGTGGCCTTAGGTGGCACTGAGGACTGCTTGTCACCAAAATAGAACAGTTCTTAGCAATTTATTTTAATTTTCCTTTTAAATTCTGACAAATGAAGGAGTGAGGACTGGAGCGTTTTCAAAGGTTGATTCCCTGTGTGAATTAAGCTGTGGATGTGGTAGAGGGTAGAGTTTTCTCTTACTAATAAGTGGCAGAATTCTAGTCTAATTCCGAAGTCATACTCTAAAGACAAATGCTCTTTGAAATGCTATGTCAATGCTATGCTAACTATTTGATTTTGCTTTCCATGAAAAATGACTGACTATTCACTTTGCCAATATGGAAGTACATTTAAAAATTCAATTCTCTGTTGCAGATAAAGGAAGACCTAGGTCTAAAAAAATACCAGAAGGTAGACGAGGGAAACGGTATTCATACAAATTACCTCAAGAATACAACATAGAGACTGTAGTGGTCGCAGACCCAGCAATGGTTTCCTATCATGGAGCAGATGCAGCCAGGAGATTCATTCTAACCATCCTAAATATGGTAGGCAAACTTTAAAGTGCACTTGGAATTTTTTCAAGAAAACTCTAAAGAAGAAATGTGTGAGTATTTATAATGAAGCTCTTTAAAAATTAACTTGTTACTATTTCTTTTTTGCCAAATAGGCTTTAGGTATACGGAATTGCTTCATCTCAAAAGTCCTATCAAAACAATGATTTATTAATACATCTCCTAGTAAATGAAGCACCCTTATTGTTAATTTTGATGTGGAAAAACTTTTTTCTGTCCTTTTTTGTGCCCTTCTTATCCTTCTCTTTTTAAAAAAGCCATTGCTGAAATTAGCAGAAATGGTATATTTACTCATATGCATGGCCCCACTCAGAGGACTATAGATTAATTACAAGGTGATATAAAATGTCTGTTGGTAATCCACTGAGCTCTTATATAGGTATACGACATTGATATTAGATCTAATTATAGATGGTAATAATAGTTAACTATTAATAATAAAAATAGCTAATAGTTAACACTAAAATTGTAATCAGCTGAGTCACAGGTGGGTAACTTATTTCTGAGAGGCTGGGTGCGTTTGGTCATGCCTATAATCCCAGCCACTCTGGGAGGCTGAGCTGGGTGGATTGCTTGGGATCACGAGTTCAAGACCAGCCTGAGCAAGTGAGACTTTGTCTCTAAGAAATAGCTGGTTGTTGTGGTGGGTGCCTATAGTCCCAGCTACTTAGGAGGCTGAGGTAAGAGGATCTCTTGAGCCCAAGAGTCTGAGGTTGCTGTGAGTTATGATGGCACAGCATTCTACTGGGGGCAAGAAAGTGAAACTCTGTCTCAAAAAAAAAAAAAAAAGATTTTTGGAGTGTGAACCAGTTTATATCTAGCATCTTAGGGATGCCTACTGCCAAATTAATTCTTTGTCTTCATTGTATGCTCTGATAGGCAAATTCCTTCAAGGAAAAATCAAGTTAGAGTGAAGAGTGGTTCTTAGAAGAGAATAAACAGAAACAAAAGGCAAATGTCCATTTACAATTTTAGCTACCATTTAAGGCAGAGTAAGAACCACTGATGTGAAAGCAAATATATCCCCCTTTTTACTGGTATTGCTATCAGTTGGCTGTCTTTCCAGTGGACAGAATTTTTTTTACACATTAGGCATTTTTGTTCCTTTTCAGCCATCTCCAGAGTACTCCATCGGCATTCGGCATAGGGTAGCCTAACGACGTCAGTCTCCTTCAGGTAGTAACATCTCTGACAGAATAAGTTTGCTGTGCCTGTTATATATTTTGAATACAACTTAAATTAATATTAAGATTTTTTTTTTAAATCAGGGTGCCACATTAAAAAATCACCTTCCTTCCCCTCCCTCTCCTCCCCTTTTTAAAATAAGATTTCTCAACTAAATGGAGACTTCTCCCATGTCTGGGCCTTAAGAAAAATTAAGATGTTTTTCAGTTTCATTTTAGGATTTTCATTTTTATTTGTTTTTAGGTTTTTAACCTTTTCCAACACAAGAGTCTTGGTGTGCAGGTCAATCTTCGTGTGATAAAGCTTATTCTCCTCCATGAAACTCCAGTAAGAAAGTCTTGAGTTTTTTATTCAATTAAGTGGGTGAGAAATTGTCTTCAGAAACTTTTAAATAAATGGAATATTAAGAATGTACTTTTTTATTAACTTAAAAACTCAGAAGTATTCACTGAATTACTTAAAGTATACATAAAACTGGCCTTTAGTTTTGCTTAATACCTCAATTTTATTTGAAAAATGGAATGTTTTTAGTTTCCAGGGATCCTGACAATAAACCTTAACTTTCCAAGATGCAATTTTAAAAAGTCATGTAAATGTCATTTAATTCTCTTGTTTAAATGTCTACTCCTAAAACCTTTTCTTATCTGTAATTTCCTTTAACGTAGAATGGACATAGCATCATTTTAGCATGGTGCTTAACTGCTACAGAACCTTTGTTCTTAAATGGTAGCAATAATGACTCAAGCATAGAAGTTCCACATTCTTAATGTTCCACGGCACCTCTTTCCTTTCGCAGAATAGCATTAAACAGATTCTGTAATTATTGCACCTTCACAGAGTTTTAAGATTTTTAGCTCAGACTAAATTAATCCTGAATATCTTCCAGGTTCTAATTAATGTTATGGTCAGCAGTCTGCTTTAGTAATTCAAGAAGTTCCCTTAGCTTTTAGTTTTTTGTACGTCTACGAGTAATTTGCCTTGAAATGAAATATCTTTGTTGGCAGGCAGATCTCTATATTGGGCACCATGGAGAGAAAATGCTAGAGAGTTTTTGTAAGTGGCAACATGAAGAATTTGGCAAAAAGAATGATATACATTTAGAGATGTCAACAAGCTGGGGGGACGACATGACTTCAGTGGATGCAGCTATACTCATAACAAGGTACGTTTTCCAAAGCCAATTAAATGGGGTCTCTAATTCAATGACCACGCTGTTAATCCCATTAAGCTCTTGATATAATTCCTTTATTCCAGATTTTGTGTTCTGAAAAATGTTTGGTGTAATGATGTTCTTCATCCCTCTTAATTCATAGTAACTGACTCTGAACAGTCATTGGGTGGCATACTGAAAAGAAATATTTAGTTAGTTAATTTAAAATAAAAATTTATTTATGTTTGAAGTCAAAGGCATAGCCACTGATGATAAGTTAAAACTATGGTAAATTTTGGTGAAATTTCAACATTATCAAGCCACACTGTGTTTTTCACTCATCACAAAATAAAGTAACCTAAATGTTAAATTATTTGTTAAATATAACTATACTGAACACATAAATTATATTTAACATATGTTTAGCATGGTAAATGTATGTTATATTTAACATATAATTTATGTTAAATTCAGCTGTTGACAATCTTTCTGGTTCCATCTGAGAAGACAGTTTCACTTAAGCCTCTAATTAATTTTGAGTTACATTGGGAATGTACTACTTACAAATATTTATAGTACAACATTAAGTGTGATATATAAATATAAGAAAGTGAGTAGAGAGCAACAGTATACTCCATATGAATACTCTAAGTTAATAATTATCTATGAATTTGTCTTGCTTAGAGATGAGAAAAATGAATGATAATTCATTGCACTAGCAATTTAATTTTTGTCATTAAAAGTGTTATCATTTCACGTCACAAAAAGCACAGATACTTAACCGTGATTATGTGAAATTAATTTATTAACTACATGATAGCTTCTTGTTAAAGAATCATCCAAAACAACCCTGATTATAAATAATTCATGAAGTTGAAAAATTCTCCATGCAAGTACACAACTAGATTTCTATTTTCAGCTGTGTAGGGATAACTGGTGGCGGACTTCTGCAATAAACAATCATAAAATTAGAAAATATAAGGCAAACTGCTTTTACTCATTGTAGCGTGAGCAGTGCAGGGCTGTAATCCCTGAAAGAAGAAAAATTGTTTAGGCAAGACTTATAGTTAACTCAGCGTCCCACCTGGAGAATATTTCTTGAGCAGGGCAGCAAGTTGGAACCTGGGGAAAGCACAGAGGTCCTGCTACATACACCAGACATGCAAGTCCTGTGTGGAAAGGTGCCGGGAAGTATACACGCAGATCTCTTAGAGAGCTTGGCAACAGCTGTCTGAACATATGCAGATAGAAACTGCCCCAAATTTACTAGAGCGTCACTGCTGTGGAGTTCAAATTTTAATAGAGTATTAGGAATGAAGCGAATTCAAGTGACTGGAGTGGAGCAGCTTTGTGATAGCTTGTCATCATTCTTAACATTTATTTAGGAGATAAAATGGAAAGCCAGCGTCTTCGTATAAGAATCATAATGCAGAGAAATGCCTGCACTTGACCTTACTAACAAAGTTAAAACCACTCTCTAGCAAGATTTTTAGGGGAGACAGAGTTTGGAGGTTGAGCCCTACCAATTTAGAAGAGCTTGGGAATTATCTTGGGTTTTGTATAGATCCTCCCCACTAAAGAATTGATTCAAATTTACCCAAGTGCAAGGTGACAAGCCGATAATTCAACTGCCTTATAGATATGCTTCAGAGGAAGATAGAAGAAGCCTGAGTCTCTAAAATGTAGCATCCACGATGTCTAGAGAATAAAAAAAATTAGTCAAGCAAAGGAACTTGAAAATGTGGTCCATGGTCAAGGAAAAGTAGTTAATAGAGAATGTCCTGAGATAGTCCAGATGCTGGTTATAACTAGAGTGTCAGAAAAGAATCACTATGGGTAAAATATATATATGGCAAAAAATTCCCTAATGGCAAATAATGGCAAGAAATTCCCAGATTTGATGACCACAGCATATATAGCTCTAGGAACATCATAGAAAATTGCTGAAAACCAAAAGTAATTTTTTTTTTCAATCACCCAGAGGAAGGAAATACATTACACAGGGGAAAAAGTTCAGATCTATAACCTACTTCACATTAGAAAAATAAGTTCAAGATACAATGAAACAACATTTCTAATCATACAGAGAAAAAGAAAATATATCAGCCAAAAATACTGAATTCTTAGAGGTTCTGTCTTAATCTCTGAAACTATAGCTCACGCTATACTTAATGGTCAAAACTGAATGTTTTTTTTTTCCATAAGACTGACAGCCAGACAAGGATGTCCCTTTATAATTCAATATTGTATTAAAAATCATAGTGAATACAATAAAGAAGGAAAAAAAGGGGGGAAAGATATGACTCTTGGGAAGAAAGAAGAAAAGCTATCACTGTTCATAGCTGATGTGGCAAAGAAATTTCTAGGAAATATGCCAAAAATTGCTAGAATTTACAACTGGAGTTGTAAGGCTACAGAATATAAATTTATAAAAATTTACAAAAATCAGTTATATTTATATGTATTAAAAATAAACAACTGAAAAAAAGTTATAGAAATTTTTAAAACTATGATAGACTTGAGAAATATGTTACCAAAGTATGTGGAAAGCTTCTGAAACAAAAACCACACAACCCTGCTGATAGAAATTAAAGCTCGACATAAGGTTCATATATCCGAAAACTAAATATTATTAAGATGTTCATTTTTCCCAAATTAATTTATAGATTCTACATGATCCTTATGAAAATCTCTGTGGGTCTTTTTTATAATAGAAATTGACAAGCAAATTTCAGTATTTATTTGGAAACGCAGAGGGTCTAGAAGACTCAAAACAGTTTTGAAAAAAGATGAACAAATTTGGTGGAACGACACAGTCTGATTTCAAACCTAACTCTGAAGATTAGGAAATGAAGACGGTGTTGGCCAAAATTCATACAAATCCATAAAGCAGAATAAAGACTCTGGAAATGAATACACACACACACACATATTCAATGGATTTTTAATTAAGCCACTAGTATAATTCAATGGTGAAATGATTCACAAAATGAAACTAGAATACATGGACATCTATTTGAAAAATAAATGTCAATCCACTTAACGTCTTGTGTAATGTTAATTCAGAATGAATCAGAGACTTGAACATGAAAGCTACAATTCGATTTTAGTAAAAAACAGAATAAAATCTTCATGAATGAGAGGACAGTATTTTTTAGATAGGATATAAACAGACCTAATCAAACACATTCCCAATAATCATCTGATACTTTTCGAAATGAAAATTATTTGCTGCTCAAAAACCATTCTGAAGATGAAAAAACAAGCCCCAGAATTTGAGAAAATAGTTGCTATTCGTGTATCTAAGAAAGAATTTGTATCCAGAATGTACAAAATTACTCTGCGATGTCATATGTGGCCTGGTGTGAGGGAAGGGAAACTGACAGAGGCAAGAGGCACATGGCAGCTTCCTGTGGCCATGGAAGTATCGCCTATCTTGCTGTGAATTCCTGGGGTTATATGTTTGTCATAATTTACCAAGGCCCTCATTGGAACTCTGGATATCTTATGTAAATCTGATCACAATACGTTTGGATAAAAGCAAGAACAACTGTAAACTGAAGCTGGTAGAGAGAATAGAAGGATGACCTGGCCATGTGCTTTGAGGTGAGTCTGAGTCAGACATCCAGCATGCTGAGTCTCTTAAAGTGTCAGATTTTGGAAAATATTGCTTGTGTGACTAAGAGGATGAACATTACAATTTAATTAATAATTTTTATTTTTCTCTGATTGTACATATAACATATTTATTATGGAAATTTGATAAGTACATGAATAAGGATAAAAGTCTAGAATTCCACTACCTAGGAAGAATTACAGTTAAAAATTTTAAGCATATTTTATTTTATTCTATTTTATTTTCTATCTATTAATGTAACTAAATGCTTATATTTATAAAACCAGGATCATGGTCTGTATGCAAGTTTTGTATTTTTACCCAACAAGGTCTTGGCATTAATTTCATTCCATTTATTGTATCCAATATCATTTATGTCCTCAAAAATTTTTAAAAAGCTTAATAATTTCCTACCTCTAATTTTTTTTATGTTACAAAATTTCAAAGCTAGCATTCTGAAGTGATCACTCTTGATCATTCCTTCCTTGTTGCTAGCCTCCTTAACTATGTAACACAGTTATTCTTCTCAAAAATGGGAAAAAAAGAGTAGTGTGGTATATTTTATACGTACAAACAACATAAAGAGTAATAGAATTAACAGCTGCCTGTTTACCCCTCTTTTAGGAAACTAAATGTGATCTATGGACTTGAGATAATCCACATTTTCCCTTAAAAATCTATTCCAAGCATGGAATAGATTTATTCTTAAATATTTCTCTAAGAAATGTGGCACAATACTATTTTATTTCCCAAGTAATGCTTATTCTCATAATAAAAAATTAAATATAACTTTAAACATGTTCTACAAATATAAACATATTCTTATGATAAAAGTTAAAGAAACACCTTAGTATTTGTAGTAAATTAACTTTTACCCAATTTCGCATCCCACTCTCTAGCCCTAAGGGGACCCATGCCAGGACTTAGTGTGTGTGTGGAGAGCACCATTGTGTGTTACACAGAATAACATAGTTACACATAGTTTTCTTTGTGTTTTCACTTTATAGTGTTTTGCAAGTCTTTCCATGTCACTCATTGTGGGAAGCAGAATAATGTCCTTCTAAAAATATGCATGCTCTCATCCCTATACTCCTCCTAAATATGTTACTTTACATGGCAGAGGGGCTTTGCGGATGGGATTAAATTAAGGATCTTGAGATAGGGAGATTATCCTGGAATCCAGTGTAATCACAAGAATCCTAAGATATGGGAGAGAGATTCAGAAGTTCACTTTAAACCTGGCTTTGAAGACAAAGGAAGGGGCCGCAATCCAAACAATGCGAGCACCACCTTTTAGAAACCGGAGAAAATCAAGAAAACAGATTAAACAGTAAAGCCTTCAGAGGGAATGCAGGGTGGTGACACATTTATTTTAGTCAGAGAGACCTATACTTGA